GGCCTTAAACCCACAGAGATCCACCTGCCTCTGCCTCCCTGAGTGCTGAGATTACAGGGTGCATTCGTTTTTTTTTTTAAACTCTGTTTTATTTGGGGAATTAAATCTCTCCCTTCCATCAACCTTTTAACTCTAGGTAAGGAGAGAGAAGGTTAGTGGGGAGATGGGGGTCAGACCCCCTTACTTCTCCCAGCTGTTTAGGGATGATGGGTTCTTCTGGGGCTCTATACCAATCTCTGTCAATAGCAAATGCAGCAAGCAGTCTCTAAGCGGCAGGCTGTTACCAGAGGTCAAAGACCACGCCGCAGAAGGCAATTAGCTGTGAACAAACTAAAGCCCAAACTAAAACTTGGTATTAAAACAAAAAAACATATTTCCATAACATCACTGAGTTTTTAAAGAAACCAAAACTCGAATTACATTCTGCAATTATAGGTGTCTTCCATCATGGCAAACTCCTCGTATGAGAATGGTGAGGCAGAATAGATAATTGAAGCACACGCCTCCACGCTACATGAGAGAGTATGGTCCTGGAGCCATCGGATATTCTGGCAGCTTCCCAACCCCTCAGCTTCCTTTCCATCTGTCAGAGGCTCCCTCAGAGGGTGATACCTGCTGTGAAGTTTGTAAAGTTGAGGGCACTCTCCTGGTGGTCCGCCGGTCACCTACTATCATAAAGTAGCCTACTTGAATAGATGTGATGGGCTCTGTCCTTTGAACCGCGCCCAGAGACAGAAGGCTTATAAATTATTTCATCATCGGCTTTTCACACTTTAGCTCAAATCACATTATTAAACTTTTTTTAAGGGCCTTAAAGGGCCTATTTATAGGCTCAGTAGAAATGACCCATAACGGCTCTAGGAGGGAGGCAGATAGACTATGCTTGAATTCCTCCTGAAATGTTTCTTAGCTCATTCCATTTTGAACAAACTATAAGATTTTTTTCCCACAGTCAACTGGAATCTGTTGGTAATTCGTGTCGATTGATAGAGTTTCCTGTTAGCTCTAACCTAGAATTCTTCTACACATTCCATCCGTACTTCGGCTGCCGGATTCTTCAACACTGTGTACAGCCAAGAGAGGAAGTGGGAAGGGGTTCAGCAATGGTCTTCATGGGAACTATAGAGGGTGTCTGAATTGATAACGTCCCAGAGCAGGGGATCTTAAAGAAGAAAGAGTTTATTTTGGGATGGGGTTACAGAGGGATAGAGCACATCACAGGGGAGGGTGGGGGATGGGAAACAGGGAAGGGGACAATGACAGCAGGCAGGCCTGGTGGCTGGGACAGGAAGGTAAGAGCTCACATCCTCCAAGGTACTTACAAAGCAGAGACAGTGAACTGAAAGTAGTATGGGAATATCCACTCTCAAAGCCTGCCCCCTCACCTCCCCCCGTGATTATTTCCTCCATTGAGACCAAACCTCCTGAACCTCCTCAAACAGTACCACCAAGTGAGGTCCAAGTGCTTGCGCCTGCTGGGCGAATTTCTCATCCAGACCTTGAGGTCTGTGATAAACATGTTCCTGCTCAATAAGAGCTTGACTGCCGTCAGGTGCTTCTTTTTCCAGCCCACTGGAATGTTCTGTTTTCACAGCAGTTTATCATTCATTTATTAGTTCATTTATCCCAGGGTAAATGAATAGTCTTTGAGTCATGCCCTTCTTGGAATGAATTTTTATTATTTTGAATATTTATTAATAAATTATGTATCATATAAATATTTATTAAATCACATTTTTTCCATTTCTCATACTACCTATTATCAAATAGTTGTTTGTATTCTCAGTGTGTGCATTTCTCTGCTAAAAAGAAAATACCAAGAAAGAAATGATATTATCTTTTATATGTTTTTAATTTTTTTCCTTTATTCATTTTTATTGTATGAATGTTTTACCTGCATGTCTGTATGCTCAACATGTGTGTGCCTGGTCCCTGTGGGAAGTCAGAAGAGGACATCAGATCTCTTGGAACAGGAGCTATGGGCAGCTGTGGACCACAGCTACCCATATCATTTCTCCAGCTACCCGCCACCCCCCGCTTTTGTTTTTTCAACACAGGGTTTCTCTGTGTGGCCCTGGCTGTCCTGGAACTCACTCTGGAAACCAGACTGGCCTTGAATTCAGAGGCTCATCTGCCTCGCCTCCCAGGTGATAGAATTAAAGGCCTGCACTACCACACCACGTGGTGTTACCCTTTTGAAGAGACTGATTTATTTTTATGTTTACGTGTATGCATGTTTGCCTGCAGAGTGAATGCACACCACATGATACAGTGCCCACAGGGTCCAAAGGAGGGTGGCAGATCTGGAGAACCGTGAGTCTCCCTGTGAGGGCTCGACACCTAACCTGGATTTTCCAGAAGAGCAACCAATGCTCTTAACCATGGACGCATCTCTCTCTCCCCAAGACATTATTTATTTTAATCCTTGTTGTATCTTTGGAATCTAGTTCAGTTCATTAAACAAAGTTGACTCTTATTTCTGTCTTTGTCTCTGCACCTATCCTTCCAGATATATATGTGTATATATATACATACATATATCTATATACATAAACATAATTATATACATAATGCATAATTATAATGTGTAATTATACATATAATATATATAATTATATGTATATAAAATGTGAATGGATGTTTATAGATACAGAAAGAGGAGGTGAAGGAGTAGAAGAGAGGTAGAAGAGAGACTTATTTTCTCTTGCTGCAGAAACCATAGTAACTGAATACAATATGTTTTCGTTTCACAGGTTTTTTGTTTGTTTGTTTGTTTGTGTGTGCATGGCTTCCTGCATGTAGTCTGTGCTAGGTCATATCTGGAGGCTCCTCTGGGTCTATATCCAATCCCAGGTCATGTTGAGTCTTTGGCAGAATTTATTTTCTTTCAGTACAACCTGAGGGCCACAGCTTCTTAGTCTGTTAGTGGCAGGAGGCAGCTTTCAGTGTCTCTAGGCAACCCCAGACCACGTGATCCTCCCATCAGCAATTCACACATGGCAGTTGGCTTCAGGGTGCGGAGGACCTCTCCATCCAGGCTGTTAAATTAGAGCCTGATGTAATGTAAGTTTTGTGCTTATGCATGTACACATGTGTGTGGAGGCCTGAGGCTGATATTAATTCTGTACCACACACACACACACACACACACACACACACACACACACACACACACTTCATTCACATAATATGTATATAATATGTATTATATAATACATATAAATAATATGTATATAGTATATAGGTATATCTATATGCAATATATAATACATGCATTATATACACATACGTGATATATATGTTGGATGAATGAAGTGTCTTAAGCAGTAATTTTTTAAACGTTTTATTGACTGTATGTGAGTTTCACATCATGCAGCCCAGTCCTGCTCATCTTTCCTCCTGATATCTGCCCTTTGCCTTTGCAACCTCCCCCAAAATAACACACACACACACACACACACACACACACACACACACACACACACCCCAAAATAAAAAACAACAACAACAAACAAACCTTTGCCATCAGGGCCAGCTCCACTGTGTTGCCAAGTGTGATGTGAGGCCTGCTCTTCAAGCACTATAGCCAGTGAGAGTCTAGCTCTCCAGTTCTCATGACCCCAGGGCCAGTCCTTCCGGATACTGCAGGTAACAAAGGGGGAGGGGGAGGGCGTCACCACCTGACTGACGCTAACTCATGGCAGAGGACTGGCTGGGCCAACTCTATTATCTGCCTCCCCTCACCCCCACTGGGCCAGTTTTACTGTGCTGCATCAGGTGAGGGACAGAGACAACTCACAGGCTCTCATGACCCCAGGGCCAGTTCTTCCAAATGCCTCAGGTGGTGAGGGGTGGTGTTGGGGGAGGGGATAGGGTGAGGTAGCTTCATGTCTATACCCAGGCCACCTCAGGGCACATGAGTGATGGGGCTAGCTCTCTCTCTGTCCTCAGGGCTGGCTCACCTGAGCTATCTTGACCAGAGCAAGCCCTACTCTGCTGTGCTGTCCAGGTGAGGTGTGGGGCCTGCTCTCCTGAGTGCTGCAGCTGGTGAGGGGCAGTGCAGCTGGTGAGGGGCAGTGCAGCTGGTGAGGGGCAGGGCCAATTCACTGCTCTCACAACCTCGAAGTCAGCTCTTCTGACCACCTCCGCCTGCCTCCGGTAGTAAGGGTGGAGGGGTGAGTGGCAGGGTCAGCTCTCCAGCTCTCGCCCTCAGGGCTGGCTCACTTGCTTTCCCCCATTACGGTCAGCTCTGATGCTCTGTCCAGGCAGGGTACAGGACCGGCTCTCCTGAGTGCTGCAGCTGGTGAGGGGCATGGGGAGCTCTCCAGGGCTCATGACCGGAGCTGGCAGGGGTCGGGGGAGGGAGCACCACCCTGCAACCATGCCACCTCATGGCAGAGGAGTGGTGGGGTTAGCTCTCCGATACTACACTCACACCATACTTCCACTGTGCTGCCTGGGTGGGGCACAGGGCCAGCTCTCGCTAGCGCTGCCAGCAGTGAGAGATGAGGCCGCCTCTCCAGAGTGCCACATGCAGTGACAGACGGCCAGCAACACACAGCCTTGAACATCCATGTGGTCCCCAGCCGAGGCCCCAATCAGGAAGTCCCCATGCTCTGTAGTGGTAATATGAGCCATGGACATCTAGGCTGACCTCTGCTGTTGCATAGCCACAGAATCCAGACATGGCCCCTGGCTTGGGCTGGGACTTTACCATGGCCCCAGGTGGCAGGCTCACCACTCAGAACAGGCCACCCCTCTCCACCCTGGAGTCTCCAGTTCCATCTCTCTTCATAATACTGAAGCTGCTCCATTTCTCTTTTTCTCCTATCTGACCACATACTCACACACTGTGGTGGCTCCTGCTGCAGGCTGGGCACGTGGCTGGTGGCCCCCAGGGTGACATCCTCCACCCGTGCTGCATGGTGTATCAGAAGGGGGGTACTTATGGCCCACCTGTGTTGTACACTGCAGGGGCATGGATTTGATTGGTTTGATTTTTATGAGCCCTAGGCATGAGACAGCTTTGACCAGTAAGCCAGGCATCAAGGTAGGATGAACAAAGGACTGCCATTTGCTCTGCTCCTGACTAATAAAAGCACACCACCATCAACAAGGTGTCTCTTTGCCCATTGCCAGGGGATCCTTACATATGTTTAAAAACAGGGTCTGTCATTGAATTGATTTGGCTAGAGTGCATGGCCAGAAAGTTCCAGGAGTCCTTCTGTCTCCTCCTCCCCAGTGCTGGGATTACAGGCATATGTGCCAGTGTCCAGTTTTGTTTCTTGTTTCTGTGTGTAGACCAGGCTGCCCTCAAACTCAGAGATCCCTCCCTCTGCCTCCCTGAGTGCTGGGATTATAGGCGTGTGCCACCGGGCCAGGCTAGTGCCCAGCTTTTTATATGGGTGCTATGGAATCTAAATTCAGATCCTCATGCGTGCCTGGCAAACACTTCACCAATTGAGCCCTCTCCCCAGCCCCATATCATGTGACTTAGTCAGACTCCGAGTCCCACCTTGTTGGCACTATGGTGTGTAGAAGCCTGTCAGGAATTTGCACCTGAGGGGAGAGGATTACAGATACGACTTACTAAGGCCAACCTTGGAGTGTATCTTCCACAGGGGCCCAGGAATAAACAAAAGCAGTTAGTCAAGGGGAGGGGAGGAGAGTGAAGGAGGGAGAGGGAGGGGCCAATTTGTTTTTCAGGTGCTTTCTACTTTTTATAGACTCTGCCTTCTACTCCACAGGCTGCATATCCCGGCGTTCACAGATAGCCTGGGAGGCCCCAGGTGGATGGATATCAGAAGTTCCTGGGGCTAGAATCTGTGACTTGGTGAATGATCCACGCCATTTGCAGTCTCTCTCTGGACTCCAATTTCTCTCCAGTGAAGAGGAAGTTCAAGAGAGATTGAGGCTGCCTGTGGGTCCCTGGCTGATGGCTAATTAAGAAGTAAGAGGCTTTCTTAACAAGATGAATCAAATTCTAAGTTGGAGAGATGGCAATGAATGATGCTGCAGGAATTACCTGAGGCTGGGCTTCTGAAGAGTTTCATTTAGCGACCAATGAGCCTGAACTGCTCAGGGAAATGACAGCAGCTCCAAAAGTAGGCTTCACTTCATACAGAGAGGTGTTTCCTTATTGCTTATCTTTCTTCCAAGTGGTTGAATAACTGGAATTTTAGTTCTTGCCGTAGTAAAACAGAAAGAGGCTTGCAGGCAAAGGCTGTGGGGACATAGCTAAGACTGCAGCTCATATGCATTTGAAAATCATAGGATAAAAGAACTGATCACTGTATTTGCATTTAAGGAAACTGCCAAAGACCTAATATATTCCAGTGAATCTAAGGCCTCATCAATTGTAAGAGACCCATCATTTCTATGTCAGAGTGGATGGAAATTAAATAAGGCCAAGCTACTGATTGTAAGACACAGTCATTTCAGAGATATTAATATATACCAGAAAATGTGCTCAGTGTGATTGGCTTCCTATAGCAGCTGTAGGAATTGGTGCTGGAAATGGTGCTATGTCAAGAAGCTCTGATTCTCAGCAGAGCCCGAGGCTGAGAAACCTCAGGATATGACACTGATTACTCCATGGTTACTAGAAAATGAAATGTTTTTAGAGTCAGACATGTCCTTAGAGGCCATCTAACCCGACCTCCCCATGAGAAAAGATACCAAATCTCCCTCTTTGATGGATTGTTTTCTGGATTCTGCCCAAATATTTTGAGTGTGGCATCACTCAATTTTCAGTGTTCTTTATCAGATAGTGAGGGCCCAAGTTAAGGTGAACTGCTGCTTTTTCTAGTTTTGTGGCTGTAACAAATACCAAGAGCAGCTATGGAGAATAAAGGTTTATTTCTCTTACAGTTCCAGGCTGTAGTATGTCACTGAGGGGAAGTCAAGGCAGGAACTCAAAGTCAAACTTGAAGCAAGCAGACTTGCTATTCCATGCAGCATATAAACAATCAAGGAACTCACTCACAGCCAAAGAAAGGCAACAGCAATAATGGAGGATGCTGCCTGCTGGATGGCAGGCAGCTCTCTGATACAGTTTAGAACCACCTATGTAAAGAATGTTCTCCTCAGCAGCCTGTGTCCTACCTCAACTAATAATCCAGATAACTACATATAGACATGTCAACAGGCCGATGTGATCTAGGCAAGTTTTAATTCAAATTGTCTTGCAAGATTGAGTTAAGTTCCCTGATAAAATTAACAAGGACATTTATTGACCTAGACTTGACTGGGTGGAAGAAAACTTGGATGATTAATAGGGGAGGGTAAGTGTTGGAGATGGAGAGATGGCTCAGAGGTTAAGAGCACTGGCTACTCTTGTAGAGGATCTGGGTTAGAATCTCATCACTAACATGGTACTCACACAACCATTTATTATTCCATTTCCAGGGGATCCAATGCCATTTTCTTGCCTTTGTGGGCACTAGGCAAAAAGGTGGTTCAAAGACATACATGCAGGCAAACACTTATACACATAACACAAAATAATAAAAAAATAAGGTAGGTGTTACTGTGGAATGAGAAAATGAGAGTCCTATAGAGAGAAGCCATGCCAAGGAGAGGGCAATGAGGCTTGCAGCATGTGCCAATGGTATAATCTCGATGTATTCATCCTACCACCCATTCGAGGAGCATGCCTATCATGTGCCAAGGTCCAAGAAAATGAGGGATACAAGTTACCACTGTCTACTCTTCAGAGCTCACAGGGTGAAGCATCAGGAGCTTCCCTGAGATAAAGAGAGCAGCAAGGATACTCCTCAGGGAGTCAGGACCAAGCTCTTGGGATAGTACCAAAGTCGTTTATCCTCATGACCAAACTTTACAAGTATTTGGTTGCATCCCCACATGGAGACCTTATGCAATCCCAGCCCCATCATCAATGTTGCTGCATTGGTACAGGTGTATCCTGGTAAAAACGTGTTTCCGAAACCTGGTCTTGTTGAAGTTTCAGTGAACAGATCTCAGAACTCTTGGCCAGTGTCAGCCGTTTCTGTGGGGAGATCACAGTCATTTCTTAACTAGCATCATTCAAGTCTTGTACTCATGTCGCCTGCCCTCCGCTGAGGTCAATATCTGCAAATGATTTGCTGCTATCAATTGCAGATACACAGAGGAAGCACTCCTCATGTGCTGCATTTGACCGGGTGTCTCCAGTAGTTCACCTTTTATTCCCCCGCTAAGAGTAGTCTACGGTAGGATACAGTCACCCCACAAGGGAGCTGGGGGTTAGCTGGATAGCCTTTGCCAATGCTCTTTTCCCAGAACCACCTGCCCTAGCCACATTGGTTTATACTCAGTCATTTTTTCCCCTGGCCTGAACTCAAGCTTGGTTGCCTCCACTTCAGATGCGTTTGGATATCAACCAGGAGAAACTCAATATTCAAACTCTTAAGGGAGCTATTCATAGGTGTCTATGCTTAAATCCAATTTTAGAAGAGTATTAAGTAGATTTTTTTCCCCCAAGGTCAGTGTCAATGTGTTGTTGATGGTCGTGGGGAAAGCTAAATGAGAAAACCTATTTTCTTTTCAGTTTGAAAGGTGATATATATTTTTTAATCCTAAATGGATTTAAGGATATAAATAGAATAATATCTAAATTCAGTGCAGCATTCAATGTTGTTTTCTAATTCATATTCTTCAATATCAACTTTTCTTGTTTATCGTTGCACTTTTTTACTCTTCATTTTCAATAGGATTTCTACATCACAATAACTTGAAGTTTAAACATTTCATTAATTAAAAAATTTTTATTTGTTTGTTTGTACTACAACACAGGGTACCCAGAGGATAACTTCTGGTAGTTGCATTTCTCCTTCTATTATATAGATTTGAGGCATTGAACTCAATTTGTTAGGCTTAGCAGCAAATACCTTTAACCACTGAGCCATCCTGCTGCCTGTAAGCATTTCATCTTAAATTAATACTCTATTTTTATTTCTTTTGCTTTGTTTCATCTTCATGTTCTTGAGCCTTTTACATTGTTTTTAAATATTTTAACCCTTTCCTAAGTAAAAGAAGACTAAAAAAGATTTAAACAACATTACACAAGAAAATGAAGGCACAGGGGATCTGGAGAGACGGCTCAGCGGTGAAGAGCACTGATGCCCTTGCAGAGACATGCTACACTTCCTAGCACTCCTATGGTGGCTCACAACCGTCTCTAACTCCAGTTACAGGCACTCTAACTCCCTCTCCTGGCCTCTGTGGGCACTGCAAGCATGTGGTACACAAACATTCATGCACACACAATAAAAATCAAATTAAAAAAGAAAACACAATTCTTTAAATCTTCTAATTTTAGTTTGTTATGATAATAATATCACAAATACCTGGAGCTTATGGAGTAGAGTGCCAGCTTGCCTGGAGCCCTTGTTCACCCTTCCTGGGCTCTTCCTCTCCGCTCACTCTCAGAAGCAGTTGCTGAGTTCATTGTTTACTATGCTCCTGGATCTCTTCTTGTTTTAATTTCCAGTTGATTTGAAAAAAAAAATGTATGTTATTCTGCATATTTAAACATAACAAATCAGTGTTATCACTCTGTGTGAATCGTTCTCTGATTTATATGATTTTCCTTATACAAATGTATTCAGGTACATTTGTACCAAATAAAATTGCAGGTCAATGCATGTAGGGCAAAGCCCCTGTAGCATGGCTGGGCTTACCCGCTGGGAGAGGAGCCGTCAGCAGCTGACGGCTGCTGAGGGAGGTGTAGTCACCACCCTTCGGGACATGGCCATGGTACTTTGGCCTTGCTGCAATGGACTGGCCCATGGCAGTGCTCACGGGTGGTACTCATTAGACTCAAGGGCTAACGCTACTAATCAAAAAGGGACATGAAGCTGGGAGGGAGATAACATGGTGGAGAAAGGTAGTAGTAGTGGATATGGCCACAGTGCATTGTATCAATGTATGAAAATTTCAAAGAACAAATAAAATATTTAAAAAATGCGTGACTTGTACTCATGCTAAAATTAAAACATACTCCATTTTAACAGAAGTACATTATTCCAAAACACATCAGTTCATTAGCATCCTCCTCATAATGGGTGTTTATGTTATTTTTCAATATTTTTGGCTTTTTAAATGTTATTAGAGAAAATGTAATTAAGATGCTATGCACATATCT